GGGTATATGTTATAAATAGAAGTGTTTGTAACCTAGAAAAGGCACGAGTCTAAGATGTAGATCATTAAGACTTTGTCTTTTTGCCGCTCTCTAGGAGAGTTGGTTTGTGTTCTCACTCAGAAGCCTTTAGGTAATGATTTGAGTATTGTTCTTGGAGGAAGCTTGTAAACAACTTCAAGTTGTGTTCTTAGTCAAGAGTCTTGGCTAGATATTGTCATGGAAGTGTGTCTTCTATTTTGTTGTCATGCAAGTGTGTCTTCTTGTTTATCCAATCGCTGCAATTTTGAAATTAGGTTTGCATCTTGAAGGTCAACAAACACTTACACAAAAGTAGCATCAGAGACTTGAGAATGTTGTTAATTACCACAAATATATTTCAACTATGTTTCAAGCTTGGTTTGTTGCAAATTAAAGATCCATCGAGAGGAGAAACTTGACGTATGCCGAGTTTCCTTCTAAATTTACATATTTTCCAAAATAAAGGGTCTGTGAACCAAGAAATAATGGACATCAAATTGGTAGACTATCTTACATTCTTGTAGGATCCGATGAGTTTTATTATATGAAGATTCTTTTAACAGTCCAAAAAGGTTGCATTAGTTATAACTGTATAAAAACTGTCAATGGAAAAGTTTGCAATAGTTTTCAAGAAACATGCTATGTTCTTGGGTTGTTGAGAGATGATAAGGAATTTATTGAAGGTATAAATGAAGCTCACCGAACAGAAAGTGGCCATATGCTTTGATGGTTTTTTGTTATATTTTTTAACATGAACACAATGACCAGCCCTGATGTTGTATGAAAAGAAACATGGAAATGTTAGTTGATGGCATTATTATTCAAGTCGGATGATAAAAAATAATCCATGTGATTTAGTCTTTTATTTTATGACACTGTTTATTTAACAACTTGCAATATATAAGCTCTGATTATGTTCTTGTGTTCATAAAACCCGTCATAAAACCTGCAATTAAGGCTTATATAATATTCAAAATTTTATCTCAACTAATAGGAATAATGTAAGGTAGGTATATAATTTTATTTCAAAGTACTTGTAATGTTCATCCTAAATGATTTGCAATTAATATATTTCTAATATGTTGGTATCAATTTATTTGACAAATTTGCACATTCCAGATGATGAGTTGAAAAATCTTTGTTTGATAGAGATAGAGAAGCTGCAAATGTGAAATGGTAGATCATTGAGAAATTTTAAATGCCTACCATATCCAAGTTTTGAATCTTTGTTTTAGAGAAAATAAGTTTATATTTGATGAAGTGAACTATGACAGAGTTCAACTAAGTTAGTTGCATGAATCATTGGTACAAAAGCTCACAGATGAACAACACAATGTCTACACCACTATAATGAAATATGTGTTGGCTCAAGATGGACAATTTTATTTTTCATATGGTTATGGTGGAACAGGAAAAAGAATTTTGTGGAAAACATTGTCTGCAACAATTAGATCACAAGGAAAAATTGTAATAAATGTAGCTTCAAAAGATATTGCATCATTATTTTTATCTGGGGAAAAACTGATCATTCTACATTTGCATACCTTTGATTATCAATAATAAATCTAATTGCAACATCAAACAATAAGATTTGAGAGCTCAATTTCTTAGAGAGACAAGTTAATTTATATGGGATGAATCTCCAATAATGAATAGATTATGTTTAGAAGCTTTTGACTTTACCATGCAGGATTTGATGAGATTGGTAGATGAAAATAACAATAACAAACCTTTTGGTGGAAAAGTAGTTATATTGGGTGGAGATTTTAGATAGGTTTTTCCCGTGATTAGGAAAGGATTTGGACGTGATGTCATGAAGGTAACCATCAATTCATCTTTTTTATGGGATAGTTGCTAAGTGTTGAAGCTCACGAAAAAAATGAGATTGATTAGAGATGGAACAAGTACAAATGCACTTGAAATCAAGGAATTTGAAAACTGGATTTTGAAAATTAGGAATGGGCACATGGAACTTGATGAAAATGGACAATGTAAAATAGAAACGCCAGAGGAGTTGTGTATTCATCAGTGTGACAATCCTTTACAAGCATTAATTGACTTTGTCTATCCTAATATTCTCAATAACCTTTGTGATCAAAGAATGTTTGAAGAAAAGGCCATCCTATCTCCCACCCTTGATTGTGTCGAACAAGTTAATGATTATGTTTTGTCTTTAATACAAGGAGAAGTAAAAAAAATCTAAGTTATGACACACCTTGTAAATCTGATGAGGATTTTGATATTTAGAGTGATTGGTTTACATATGAATTCTTGAACAATATCAAATGTTCAGGGATACCATACCATCGTTTGAACTTGAAGGTGGGAGTTCCTATAATGTTGCTAAGAAACATTGATCAAGCGTGTGGTTTATGCAATAGAACAAGGCTGCAAGTGAATCATCTTGGTCTAAATATTATCACAACATTTGTCATAACCGGCAAGAGTATTGGTGAAAAGGTACTAATTCCAAGGATGAATCTGGTTCCTTCAGATTCTGAATTTCCATTTAAATTTCAAAGAAGACAATTTCCTATCACACTGTGTTTTGCAATGATTGTTAACAAAAGTCAAGACCACTCACTTTCTAAGGTAGGATTGTATCCACCAAGACCCATTTTCACACATGGTCAATTTTATGTTGTTGTATCCACCAAGATCCATTTTCACACATGGTCAATTATATATTATTATATATTAGTTGTTTAAGTTGATGTAAGATGGTTTATATTTTACTAGTGTTTTAGTGTTTTAGAGATAATGATTATCTTACATCAACCTTTAACCTTCTTCCATACACACCTCCATCCAGCAACTATTATAACATTAATCTGACTTCAACGACCCACATTAATCTGACTTCAACGGCCATTTACTAACATGTAAAACATGTAGTCAACTCCCTGTCCAATAAGGTAAAACATAGAACATCATTCGCCACCAATTTCTTATCTTTCACAAATTCGTACCAATCAACTCGATTGATTTCTCATCAAAATTCCTTCTTGCAGTGCGAACATCACATTCATATTCGTCACTAGTTTTGTTATCAACTAGAATTATCTCCTTCACATTATTGGATATACAAGTCCTTGCAACTTGTTGTGGGATATTCTACATCACAACTACCGTACACATTATCAGAATAATATATTTTACTTAAAATGCTTTAGTATAAATTCGAATTCATAAACATTTCATCTCTCATCTTCCTTATCGAAGACATGATTTCATCCATGTCAACTTTGGAAGCACGGAAAACAATTTCATCATAAATAAAATAGGGTAATAGTTATGTAAGCATAAATATGAATCAAACCATTTTAAATTAACAACATATTTACCTTGAAGATACATAGACATGAGAAGACATTGCTCAAGTCTGATATTTCCTTTCCTTAGATCATTTTTTTCGCAATACCATATACCCTTTTATACGAATCTTTTGATACTATTCCCAAACTGGAAAATTAAAAAGGTACGAAGAATTGATCTTTTACTCATATTTGACTGACTTTTCTGCTTGTAGAATCATAATCAAATCCTCTTATGAGAGTTTTGCAGATTTGCATAAAAACGCATATAACCAAGTTTGTTCAGTTATAGCCTATTAGTTCATTTTCTATTGGATGTTGAAACTGTACTCACAACAAGTACTATTTAAATACCACTTTATTACCACAAATTTCCATTTTTTTATTTCATAACAAACATAACCAAATTAAGGGTTTGCATTGGGCCCAATTAATATCCAATTCCATTTTATAAAATATCCCACTACAAATTTCAATTTTTTTTCTTTAGTTTGTCGTAATTTTTTATACCAATTGTATTAAAAAAAATTTCCACTAAATTATAAGCTATTTAATTAATTTATTAAAAAATCAGTTTCTTTTTTAAAATCTCAAAATATTAACATCTATTATTGCTATTGAGAATCTCTTATTAAATAGGTTGTGTTTCACACTTTGTACTTAAATCTTAATTTTAAATAATTTATTCTAATTTATTATAGTTATAGTCATTCTAAATATTATTTTCCTTTATTTTCCTTTAAATAAATTATTTAAATTTTTAGTTATTTTTTATATTAATTATTTTAAAACTATTTGAAATTATTATTTATAATATCCGCGAAATTTTGAATATCAAAAAAACAATTTCATAACTATTTTACTTAATAAAGAGAAAACTACTTATTTTCTAGGGTTAAATATGATTTAGGTTTTTATAAATATCTCAAATTTTATTTTTAGTTTTTATCAAAAAAATTGATATATTTTGGTTCTTATAAAATTTTTATTCATGTTGTTTTAGTCGTGTTATTTTCTAAAATTTTGAAACGTATTTGATTACTCTTAAATTTTTAAATGTTTGAATAATTTTTTTCATATATATTTTTATCAAATTTTAGAATTTTTTAAAATGAGATGAATTTTGTAATTTCAAAAGATATTGACGAAAATAATGAAAACTCCGATTTAAAAATCAAATTTTAAGGTTATATTTTTCTAAAGAATTTTTTATATCATTTTAAATATGTCTGTAAAATAATCATTCAAAAATATACATACATAATTTAACAACAAAAATTAAAACTACTAACATAATAGTTTGTAGGACTAAAACATATTTAATCATATTTTTTTATGATAAAAACCATGAATAATCTTCAATACCGTAGTATTCCACAGTTCACTTCAGTTACAGCATCAATTTCATTTGAAGTTGTTGACACTATAATTTCACCTAACCAAAAAAAAAAAATCCATCGTGGCAAACAGAACCATTGGGAATCCAAGTAATAACAATCACAAAAAGAAAAAAAATGATATGAAGAAGATAAGTGGGACCACAAGTATGACAAACCATTATCAACCTCACAATCTCTTTTCCATCAGTGCCTTACAACACAATCCATCCATGCAAAACTCACTCAGCAAAATATCAACAACAAAATAATCCACAATTTTGCAGTAACCATGGTTGCAATGGCAGCAGCAACAGCCTCATCTCAGTTAATATTCTCAAAACCTTACACTCCTTCACGTCTATGTCCCTTCCAACTATGTGTCTTTGATACAAAGTCAGTGTTATCAAGTTCAAAGAGAAAGCATGTGAGTGGCAATGGTGTTAAATGTATGGCTGTGAAGGAAGCAACTACTCAGACAAAGAAGAGAAGTGGATATGATATTATAACACTCACTAGTTGGTTGTTGCAGCAAGAACAAAAAGGGACTATTGATGCAGAACTTACTATTGTACTTTCTAGCATTTCTTTGGCATGTAAACAAATTGCTTCTTTGGTTCAAAGAGCTAATATTTCTAACCTCACTGGTACTCAAGGTGCTGTAAATATTCAAGGGGAAGACCAGAAAAAACTTGATGTTATCTCAAATGAGGTCAGTAATCAGTACTATATGTTTCCTTGGTCTTTTTGTTTTGTTTTTTCGAATAATTATACATAGTTTCAAATCAGGTCGAGTTGCAATACTCGATATTGTTTATGTTTGGTTTGGTTTGGTTTTTATATTATTTGTCACGAAATCCAAAAGAATGTACTAGAATGTTTATTTGTCACATTTTTAACCAAATTCATAGGTACTTATACTTAAAAGTTTATTCAAGTAGCTACTAAAATTATTAGACTATGCATTTTTGGTTAGGTATTCTCGAATTGCTTGAGATCAAGTGGGAGGACAGGGATAATAGCGTCGGAGGAAGAGGACGTGCCCGTGGCAGTAGAAGAGAGTTATTCAGGAAACTACATTGTTGTATTTGATCCACTTGATGGTTCATCCAATCTCGATGCTGCAGTCTCAACTGGTTCGATTTTCGGGATTTATAGCCCCAATGACGAGTGTCTTCCTGACTTTGGTGATGACTCTGATGTCAACACAGTAAGTGATACTTTGGAATTGAATGTTTCTTCATGGTCGAACTCAAACCAATGGAATCATCATTTGAAAGTCTCACTCTCTGTCGTGATTCTTAAATTTTCACCTAACACAATGTATATGTTTATTGCAGCTTGGCACAGAAGAACAAAGGTGCATTGTGAATGTGTGTCAACCTGGAAGCAACCTTCTAGCAGCTGGTTACTGCATGTATTCGAGTTCAGTAATCTTTGTTCTTACCATAGGCAAAGGAGTGTTTGTATTCACATTAGATCCAATGTACGGAGAATTCGTTTTGACTCAGGAGAATCTCCAAATACCGAAATCGGGGAAAATCTATTCTTTCAATGAAGGGAATTACAAGCTGTGGGATGAAAACTTGAAGAAATATATTGATGATCTTAAGGAACCAGGTCCTAGTGGCAAGCCTTATTCAGCAAGGTATATTGGTAGTTTGGTTGGTGATTTCCACAGGACACTGTTATATGGTGGCATTTATGGATATCCTAGGGACAAGAAGAGTAAGAATGGGAAGCTTAGGCTTTTATATGAGTGTGCTCCAATGAGCTTCATTGTTGAACAGGCTGGTGGAAAAGGTTCAGATGGTCATCAGAGAGTACTTGACATTCAACCCACAGAAGTAAGTTAGATTTACTTTATGTCCCTAAAAGTTATTTAAAACTAGTCCGAACCGGTTGAATCAGTTTGATCACAGTTAAACTGTAGTTTGGTTGAACCGAGTTTTAAAAAACCATGCTAAAATCTTTAATGGTTTATGATAAATGGTGTGATGAAAGTCTTATTTAATTTTTCCATTTTATGCACAGATTCATCAACGGGTTCCACTTTACATTGGGAGCACAGAAGAGGTGGAGAAGGTTGAAAAGTACTTAGCTTAAATCACATACTGATGCAAAGAAAGTTGTTTTGTTTAAGAATCTTAATCTCAATGAAACTGGACACAATCAAGTGCTTTTAAGGAAGAGTTCTTTTTATTTTATTCCTCCCATTTTATTTCAATGTTCCAAAGAAAAAGAAGGGAAATAAATATTTCAAGGATCTTCAGATTAGTTTGCATATAAGTATTTGTATAAAATTTTGACGTACTAATTATGTTTTAATTGCACAACTTACCTGGTCTTAAAACTACAAAGAAACAATCATGTTGCCGCATTTCCTGTTCAAAATAACATAAGTGTCTCAATGTAAATAAAAACGATCAAATTACTATCTGTTCGTCAGAGGATTGATAATATTAGCCTTAAAAATCGGCCAGGTAACAACTGAATTCATACAGACTACATGTATATTGGAATAAAAGATATCGGCTATATCTCCTGAACCATTATCTGTCTATAATAACAAAGGTTTGAAATGCCAATTTTTTTAAAAGGATCGTTATTTGAGTTAGAAGATCAAAGGAAGAAGTGTCGACTTTAATTTTGAACAAAATGTTAGAATTAATTTAGATTTAATTAGATATTAATTTATATTTAGGAATATTTTTTAAATTGTTTATATCTTTGTTAGAAGATATAAATCTTAGATCTTCTTATATCTTTGTAGAAGATATATTTTAGATTTAATTTGTATGTATAAATAGTCTAGTGGAGTAGTTTATTGTAATTCATTGTAAATCCTTATTTTGAAGTTATCAGTAAATATTCCTTTTGCCTTTTATCTTCCTTGTGCACCAACAATTGGTATCTAGAGCTCCTGGTTAGAAACTCTGGAATTTGAGAAACATTGTTTCATTGATAGAAATTCTGGAATTTGGGAAACATTATTTTCATTGAGTTTCTAGGTAAATTGCACAAGGTAGAAGATGAACGGGAACGGCGACGATATCCATTCCAAGCTTCCAATATTTGATGGAAAAAACTAGAATCGTTGGAAGATCCAGATGCACATGTTATTTGGTTCTCAAGATGTGTTAGATCTTGTCACCGATGGCTATAATCTGTTAGAAGCAGACGCAACAGAGACACAAAAGGCGCTAAGAAAGAAAGATCAGAAAATATTGTTCTACATCCATCAATGTGTGGATGCAAATGTGTTTGAGAAGATTGTTGATTCTGAAACAGCAAAGGTTGCGTAGGACACACTGGTCAGATGTTACGGTGGTGATGCATCAGTGAAGAAGGTGAAGCTTCAGTCTCTCAGAAATCAATATGAGAATCTCAACATGAAGGACAACGAGAAGGTTTCTGAATACATCTCTAGAGTGATTCTGATCACTAATAAGATGAAAGCTTGTGGAAAAACTCTGTCTGATCAAGTAATTATTGAGAAGATCTTGAGATCTTTAACTTCTCAGTTTGATTACATTGTGGTAGCAATTTAACATTCCAAAGATCTTAGCACCATGAGAGTTGAAGAGCTGCAAGGTAGTCTAGAGGCGCATGAGTTGCGTATGACTGCAAGAACTTCTGAGAGGGAAGTAGAGCAGCAGGCTCTGAAAGTAACTTCTGGTAAGAAGCATCAGAAGTAGACTTGGTCAGAAGCCAGGAAGAAAACTAATGGTGGTCAAAGGTCAGAAGCTTCAAACTCTGATAGGCAGAAGAATATTCAGAGGGGAAAGGAGAAGTCTGACAAGAAGAATGTTCAGTCTTACTGTTGCATGGACTTTGGTCACTATGCCAAAGATTGTTGGTCAAACAAAGAAAGGAAGTCAGAAGAAGCAAATGTAGCCAGAGGAGATTCATATGATGAACTTGTGCTATTTATGGCTTATGAATCTGATGAGGAACCAGTGAAATTATCATTTTCTGATTCTGAAGGGGAAGACGAATATGACTCTGAATATTCTGATTTTGGAGGAGTGATTTTGTATGAGTTAGAATCAGAATATGACTCTGAGTTAGAATCAGATGACGACGCTGAAGATTTTGAAGATGAGTCAGAATCTGAGGTTTTTGAAGACGAGTTAGAGTCAGAAGATGACTCTGAAGCTGAAGACAAGTCAGAATCCGAAGGTGATTCTGCTTCTGAAGAAGAGTCAGAAGATGATGACTCTGGAAACTCTGATGGTGAGTCTGATGGTGAATCTGATTCTGATCTAGATTTTGATGATGATCCAGAATTTGGTGGTGATCATGCTTATGGAAGGTAAAACTCTAAAGACGTAGGTTCTGGAGGACAAGCTTCTAAAGATGATCAGGTTTCTGGTGGAAATCATGACTCTGAGGTTGGACCTTCTGAAGGAGGAGCTTCTGAAGGAAATTTAGTCTTTGACGGTGACCATGATTCTGAAAGTGGAACTTCTGAAGGCAGAGCTTCTGAAAGTGATCCAATTTTTGAAGATGGTATTTTTGAAGGTAGTGGTTCTGAACGATTTCCAGAAACTAACAAAGTTGAGTTCAACGGAGACGTCATTGTAGAGGAATCAGAAATTTGGAATTAGGAAAACTCTCGTCCTGACTCTGATGACAGAACTTCTGAAGAAAGGTCAGAAACACGTGTTTCTGAAGCTGGTAAAGACTCTGATTCTGAAGAAGATACAGAAGGAGAAGATGAGTCTGACTCTGACTCCAATGGTGATCCAGACTCTGAAGACAGACAAGGTTCTGGAGAAAGTCCAATTGCTGAAGCAAGTGCTTCTGAAGGGGAAAGTTCTGAAGGTCCAGTTCAGAGGCAACCAAGAGTCAGAAGCATCCCAAGAAGATTTGCAGAGTTTGACATGTTGCTAGACACTGAAGTAAACTCTGAAGGAGAAGTTATTCAGTGTGCAATGTTAGTAGACTTTGAACCCGTGAGTACGAAAGAGGCTCTTAAGCAGCAAGTTTGGTTATAGGCCATGAAATAAGAACTTGATGCTATAGAGAGAAACAAGAGTTGGAAGCTGAAAGAACTTCCAAAAGGCAAGAAAGCCATCAACTCAGATGGGTTTTCAAGCAGAAGCTAAAGCCAGATGGATCAATTGGCAAACACAAAGCGAGGTTAGTAGCAAGAGGCTTCCTACAGAAGCCTGGGCTGGATTACTTTGAAGTGTTTGCACCTGTAGCGAGACATGAAACAATCAGACTCGGGATTGCAATAGCTGCTAACAGAAATTGGCCTTTGATGCATTTAGATGTAAAATCTTCATTTCTGAATGGTCCATTACAAGAAGAGGTGTACGTTTCACAACCTCTTGGATTTGAGAAAAAGAATCAGGAAGGGATGGTGTTCAAATTACACAAAGCATTGTATGGATTGAAGCAAGCGCCCAGAGCTTGGAATTTGAAGATTGATTCATTTTTCAAGGAACAAGGGTTTCCGAAGTGTGAGATGGAGTATGGTGTTTATGTTCATCACACTTCAGAAGATAACATGATTTTGGTCTGCTTGTACGTTGATGACATACTACTTACAGGAAGTTCTGAACAAGAGATAGTTGAGTTCAAGAAAGTTCTGCTGAATGCATTTGAGATGACAGATCTTGAAAAAATGAGTTTCTTTCTAGGGGTGAAATTTATGTACTCTGAGAAAGGAATCATTTTACATCAGATAAAGTATGAACTAGAGCTTCTGAAGAGATTTAAGCTAGAAAATTGCAAGGTTGCTATCACACCTGATGATACGAATCAGAAGTTAGACTCTGATTCTGATGGAGAGGATGTGAATGCTACAACCTTCAAACAGATGGTTGATTCTCTAAGGTATTTGTGTAATACCAGACCTGATATTTACTATGCAGTTGGAATGGTTAGCAGATTTATGAGCAAACCAAAGTGGTCCCATTACCAAGCTGCGGTCAGGATTCTGAGGTATGTGAAGGGAACTTTGAAATTTGGAGTGTTATTTCCGTCTGGAAGAAAGATCAAATCAGAACTTATGAGTTATTCTGATTCTGATTAGTGCGGAGATAGAGTTCACAGAAGAAGTACTTCTAGGTACTTATTCAAATTTCTGGGAAGGTTCTATTTTTTGGTGTTCCAAGAAGCAACCTGTTGTTGCTCTGTTAACTTGTGAAGTTGAATATATTGCAGGTGCTCTGACTGCATGTCAAGCTGTGTGGATTCTGAACTTGCTAAAAGATCTGAAGATTGAGGTAAATAAACCTCTAAAGCTGCTGATTGATAACAAGTCTGCAATCAATCTTGACAAGAATCCAGTGTTGCATGGGAGAAGCAAGCATATTGAGGCAAAGTATCATTTTCTGAGGAATCAAGTTCAGAATGGAATATTAGAGGTTGTGCATTGTAGCACTCAGAAGCAGCTGGAAGATGCTCTGACAAAGGCTATCAAAACTGATCAATTTCTTGGTTTAAGGGATGAAATTGGTGTTGTCAGTTTTGGATAAATATAGATTAAGGGATGGTGTTAGAATTAATTTAGATTTAATTAGATATTAATTTATATTTAGGAATATCTTTTAGATTGTTTATATCTTTGTTAGAAGATATAAATATTAGATCTTCTTATATCTTTGTAGAAGATATATTTTAGATTTAATTTGTGTGTATAAATAGGCTAGTAGAGTAAGTTATTATAATTCATTGTAAATCCTTATTTTGAAGCTATCGGTAAATATTCCTTTTGCATTTTATCTTCCTTATGCACCAACACAAAAGTACTGAAATCTCGTTGGACAATTGATTTTTCATGCTTTCATTTCAGAGGCATCAACAACAGAGTCAATGTGCTTTAGCAACACAATCAATTTTCACGCCTTCATGCGCATCAACAGCAAAATCTAACACCAACATACTTCCTACATGATCAATCTCACTTGACTTGTTTGACATTGTCTGCTCAAGAGTAATGCAATGATTCATCTGCATGTAAGCCCTTTGTTTTGCAGGATGGACCATAACTAATATAACATTACAATTACTTGATGCAGCCTCTTAGTTGCAAGATGTTGCAAAATAGTTCTCTAGAGAGAAATATTTGTATCAGAGTAAGAACTAAGAGG